CCATATGCGGCCCAAACTATTGAATTCATAATTAGTAATAGAAGACCAATCTCGAAAAACAGAGGACAGAATACGAGAAGCCCTGGTTTCTTGTACTCGCGTTTCCAAAAGACACCCAAATTGCAAATTTTCTTCATGTAACCAGTCACTTACTACGGAATGTTTTGTTGATTTATTGAAACCGCGCACATTCCAGAAAAAGCAAGACATTAATGATGTTTTTTGGAGGTTCTTTTGCTCGATACGCTAGGGCGAGCCTTAGCTTGTTGAGAAAAAGATTCCGATGTAGCTTTCTGCGAATTCTTTGTTTGACGGGTAGCTCGGACCGAGCTTGCTTTCTCTACTTCTGTGATGGCCTGCGTCAAACTTGCATGAGTGTTAACACCATTCTCGACATTGTTGTCTAGACTTTCCTTATCTTCTGCCACTTCCCCTTCGATGACTGCATCGTCTAGCTTGGGCTCTTCAATATTATCTAGAACAGAGAATCGAGAAGCAGAGAGAATAGTAACTTGACCATAAGCTAGTGAGCTTTGAACCTTCTCATTACTCATACAGCCTTTCCCTGGGGAAACTAAGGACCAACCATCCTTATCAGCACCTTGTGTTATATTATCTTGCTCCTCATGTGTCTCAGCGGCTCTGTTTTGCTACACTGCATTCGATACGGCCAACGTAGGTGTTTGCGCCTCTTGCACCTCAACTGGAACAGAGGTCTCTGTTTTTTCAGAATCATTTTCTGCTACCAGCTCACCTTCTTCTAAGTCATCTGCCTTTACCTTCACGGGAGACGCTTTTTTGGTCACACAAACATCCTCTGTGTGGCCCCATTTGCTGCACCTTGAGCATCGAGGAGGGAGCCAAGGATAAACAAATTCCACGGTGACTTCCTCCACTTGATTCAACTTGAAACAGAATTTTTGTGGGAGAGACTTTGTTAAATTTACTTCAACGAACACCTTTGCCTCTTCAAAGTTGCTACATAACTCTGTTTCCGGATGAAGTCGAATGGGATCTCCTATTGGACTAGAAAGAAACCCGAGACCCTCCCATGAATACATCGAGTGAGGAACATTTTTCAAAGTGACCCATAAAGGCATTGTCGAGACTTCAGGCTGAGCTTCTTCTGGGATTGGAGACCATTTTGCAAGGATCATGGGAAGCCCTGCAATATTCCACATACCCCTACGCAGTACTCTCAATCTGGTTGCTTGATCTCGAATTCGGAACTTGACTGAAGTGGTGTTATTCTCATACACATCGATTCGGACTGTTTTATCTCCAAGAGACCATATTTTGTTAACAATAACATGGATCTTAGCGACGTGGGGAGCAGTAGACGGAAATCTACCAACAAGAAAATCTTCCCATAGGGGAACGGAATCACTGATAACTGCTGAAGGAACCTCAATCGTTGGAATACCATCAACCAAACTGACTTGAAACTCATGTTTTTTAAGTGACGGACGCTTATTCACTGCTGCTGCATACGAAAGTTGCTTGGATTGAACAGGAGAGGAATCTCCCGGAGGAGACACGGAGCTTACTGGCTCAGACATCGGATCCACCGGTGGTGGCCGCCGCCTAAACCCTAGCGTGATGGAAAAGCTTCAGAAACCCTAATCGCCTTACCAGTCGCCTTCTCTGATGACGTGGATCTTAACAGTTGACTTCAAAGGTTTTTATTTCTCTAACTAACGTAGACACGCAGTTAAATTTAACCATCGATCAATACAATAAAACCAAAATGCATATTTCAGCAGGGACACATCAACTATTGTATGCTATAAAAAAACTCATAAAACATTTAAAACCAATCAAAGTAAAATATATAATATCATCACTTACAAATCCATCCACATTATCGCTTGTATTTACTAAACATTAGAAAGAGCGGCCAAAATCAATTTATTTTTTCTCTGTGAGATTATTCCTTTTCAATTATACGGTCCGTTTTAAGTTAGATAATTTTTATATCTTGTCATTTTAAAGAAAAAAATATTATAATTGTTGGAGCAAAAGCACACAACCTCAAATCATTATCTTCCCAAAGTTAATATGACGATTAACAATATTTAAAGTTTATACACAAATAAAAAGAAGAAGCAAATATTAAGTTTAGGAATTTTAACTAGTTTTCTTTTCCTAACTAAATTGATTTGTTCTTTTTTCTATCAAAGAGTAATAATCATCAAGTTGGTTAAGTGTACTATTTATTATTTAACGAGTGACAGAAGAAATTTACAAAAACCAAATCCGCTAATTTAAATGACATACTCAAACTAATCATTTTACTAGAATTAGTTTATTCGGTTAACTAAGAAATAACAAAGGGCTATGGAGCACAACACAAATTAAAAATAGAGTAGAACGTATGTAATAAGATAGAGTTGAAGTGTAACACGTAGTAGAGACGGTCTAGACGATGTCGATTACATTTTAGAACCGCAGAGATGAATAAACAATGAATTCTAGTTCGTAGAAGTAATCAAGAACACAAAACAAAAGAATAACTCTCTTTTATTACTTAGGAAACTCTCTCAAAACCTAAGCCTCTCTCAATCACTTCTCAAACTCTCTAAAACCACACAAGTCATATCACAACTCGATATGTCCTTATATAACAAACCCTATGACCTAATCATATCTCAATTAGGAAAATACAAAGATCCTTCTAGATAACTCCTAGAGGATTTACATTTATCTTCTCATAAAACCAAAGACTTGCGGTTTAAGTAATCCTCCGGTTAAGCTTCTCTCAAGCTTAAACCAACAATCTCCCCCTTAAGCTTGAGATCCTTGTTCACCACATCTTGCACACCTATAAGCTCCCTCATTTCCTTGAACTTAATCTTCCCAAGGGCCTTTGTTAAGATGTCTGCTCTCTGTTCATTCCCCGGCACATGCTCTACCTCTATCAAGCCGTTTTCGACACATTCTCGTATGAAGTGATATCGTCGATGGATGTGCTTGCTGCGACCATGAAACACAGGGTTCTTAGTGAGTGCAATAGCTGATTTATTGTCGATCCTTATAACAACCTTCTCACTCAAAGTTCCCGTGATCTCGCTTAGTATATCCTGCAACCAAATAGCTTGTTTCGCAGCTTCGGTTCCTCCCATGAACTCTGCTTCACAAGACGACATTGCCACAGTTTCTTGCTTCTGTGAACACCAAGATATAGGACTTTCTCCTAAATAAAACACATGACCAGCTGTACTCCTCCCATCATCTTGATCTACATCATGACTACTATCACTGTACCCTATTAACTTTGGTATACTAGTACACCGGTTGTAAGTTAGGCCAAGATTGGTAGTTCCTTTTAGGTATCTAAGGCACTGTTTCATTGCAGTCTCATGTGACTCTCTAGGACTCTGCATATATCGACTCAAAACTCCCACACAGTATGACAAGTCTGGTCTAGTGTGTAACAAGTATCTGAAGCAACCCACATTGCGTCTAAAAACCGTAGCATCAACTTCTTTCTCCTTTTCAGCTTTTGACAATTTCAATCCTGCTTCCATGGGAATATGAACTGAATTACAATCTCTCATTCCGGCTTCCTCCAAGATCTTAAGAGCATAACGACTCTGATTCAATACTATCCCCTCCTGATGCTGCATTACCTCAATTCCAAGATAATAAGTCAACTTCCCGAGGTCACTCATTTCAAAATTTGAAGACATTTCTCCTTTAAATTTGTTGATGACTTCAAGACTTGTCCATGTAACAAATAGGTCATCCACATACACTGCTATAATAAGGAGATGTCCCTTAACTTCTTTGCGATAGACTGATGGTTCCTTTGAACATTTTGTAAAATGTAGATCAACAAGGATGTGATTTAGCTTGTTGTTCCAAGCTCTTGGCGCTTGCCTTAGACCGTACAATGCTTTGTTTAGTCTATAAACCTTATCTTCACTTCCTTTAACTTCAAATCCTTCTGGTTGATAAACATAAACAGTTTCCTTGAGTTCTCCGTGTAGAAAAGCCGTTTTAACATCAAGATGGTGGATCTCCCACCCATGTGCTGCTGCGAGATCAATAAGGAGTCTGATTGTTTCAATTCGTGCCACTGGAGCGAATACCTCTTCAAAGTCTACTCCATATTTTTGTACATACCCTTTTGCAACAAGACGGGCCTTGTACTTATTAATACTCCCATCAGAATTTCTCTTGAGTTTGAATACCCATTTTAAGCCAATTGGCTTTGTTCCTACTGGCAAGTCAACAAGGTCCCAAGTTTTGAACCTTTCAATAGAACTTAGCTCATCTTCACAAGCGCTTGTCCACTCTTTAAACTGTTTTGCTTCATGAAAGTTTCTTGGTTCATTATTCAGACACATAAGCAATGTTTCTCCTTCTTCTTCTGCAAGTAGGACGTAGTCTTGAAGATATTTAGGTTTATTAATCTGTCTCTGAGTTCTTCTTAAAACGGGTGAATGAGGATCACTTGTTCCTGCAGCCTCATGTTCTGTTTCCTGACCATGCCCTGTTTCGGTACTCTGCTCTTCTTCAGACTCATCATGTTCAATCTCTTCCAGATTTTGTCCTCTTTCTCCAATGTGTTCAGTCTCTCCATGTGTTTCAACAGTCTGTTCTGTTTCTCGAAGTCCATGATTTCCGAAAGCTTCAAACGTAATCTTAAAGCACTACAGGAATATCGGGTATTAATAGCGTCTGAAAAACGCTGTTTAAAGATATAATAGCGTTTTTGAAAGCGCTGTATATACGCCCGCTATAATAGGTAAGTGACTTTAGATAGCGTTTTTCTGTAATGCTATAATATGTTTATATAACATAGCGTTTTATTTTCTGCTATTATAAATTATATAATAGGGTTTTTTGTGTGTTATTAAAAAGTTAAACATTTAGAAAAATTGATATTTGTTGTTTTTTAATATTATATATAATATTGTAATTATATATAATATTAGTACTACATAATATTTTAATATTATATATAATATTATAATTATTGCTTTGACAAAAAAAACTTTAAATCAAACTTAAAATTAAAACTGGATTTAAACCTGTCATTTTAAAAGATCATACAAAGAGTAGTACTACACCATGAGATAGAACAATGTTTTTTGACACAAACTTATGCTCACATGAATACAATATGCTTGTTAGGCCAAGCCACCCAGTTTCCTACTGCATCAGATATTACTTGAATTTCAGAATTTGGTCTCCACACTCGTGCACCATCAATCTTGGAAACCTCTACCCAGATCTTGCTAACATTGGGACCTAAAGGACAGAGATGGACCTTGTCTTCTGGATCAGTGGAACAGACACGACCTATTGCAACTTGCTCCCCAGAATTATCACAATCTAATAGAAAGCAATTCTTTTTGGAGCCTTTGCTTGTACCAGTACTGTTAGTGCCACTCTAGTAGTCCAAATTATAAAAACATTCATCAGAATACCATCACATCAACATCAACATCAACATGCAACAAATATAATTCCCAATCTCATCTAAAAATCTGACTACTTAAACTATTGTCCAACTTAACTACTAGTAGCAGCCAAATCAAAACAAACAAATAGAGAGTTGGTGTTACTGACCTGCAGAGGTGATGATTTTTTCGTTGATTCATCAAGTGTAGACAGAGGTATTTGTATCCTATCAGCAGGCCATGTGATGATCTCATTTAGTGCATCACCCATCAATGATGAACCTTTCATAGTAGGTCTCCATAAATAAGCACCAGGTTTAACCACCTTATCGACATTAATAACTACATCATTTGGTCCCAGAGGAGCATTGTTGACCATTTCTTTAGGGTCAGTTGACAACAATATACCCTCAGCAATCACATTAGTATCCACATTCCAATAATCATACATGTGAACTCTGTGAACTCTTCCTATTGATCCATCTGAAGCCTAATGAGTCATTGAAAGAGTTATACACAATGTATTAGTAATCTAATCCTTATGAATTTAGTTATTTAGAGAAATACAAACTCAATTTTAAATTACCTCGGATCTGTCAGTGTTATGAGGCTCTGTGAAGTTATAATCATCATCCAAAATTATCTTATCACTTGGCCACGGGATTTTAACTCCTACAGCTTCACCAAGTGAGCCAATGGATTGAGTAGGTCTCCAGAGAGATGCTCCTATTACTGATACAGAGTTGACAAGTACAGCAGCAGCATTACGGCCTATAGGAATGCGACCAATCTTGTATGTTGGTTCACAGGAGCAATATTCTCCTTCACCAACAACAATGTCATCTTTCGAACACCAATCTAGTAGCTGGCACCTAATTTCCCCTTTGCTAACATCGCTTAAACCAGACTTAGAAACATCATTACTCTGTTTTAAACACATAAACAAAATGCATATAAGTTGGTATCTAATTAAACAACAAAATTAACTGTGAAACAAAAACAATATAAGTTACCTGTTTAGCAGCTAAGTCACTAACCACAGTTTGCAATTTTTCAAGCTTAGCTTCAAGCTCCTTCACATGTGAGTCTCTGGCCTGTAAAAAAGCCAACTTAGTAATCGTAGCCCCTCTGCCCATCCCCCTAAGTCTTCCTGGTCTGTCTTTTCCTAGGATCTGACTCACAGCATCTTCTATAATATTATTTGTGGATGTGGAGTCCATTTCACTATCAATTGACTTGATCTTTTCCTGAAATAAAGATTTATACTTAATATGGAGAATCTACCTTTAAAAACAATCTGAAGAACAATAAATCAAAATTTAAATCATTCTTACAATAGTTTCTTCGAATTCTGGCCTCACGGGTCTTCCATCAGCATTCGTGTGACCTGCTATCCAAACTTTACTTTTAGTAACTTTACTAGGATCAAGAGCCTTTTGTTTCTACAAGTTCATATAAAGGGTTATACACATATTTGAATTAATATAACAACTAACCAATTCAATACATATACTAGTACATACCATCTCATTAGCTAGCCTATGAAATCCTTTGTGGCTGGTGGTTTGAGGAATTTGAGATTTTCTAAGTTTGCTCATTGTCTCACTTTTTTCCTATTGACACAAATAGACATATATGAATAATCTCATAAACACCATATCAAATAATCAAAACACATGAAATAAATACCTTAAAAGCTGTGCTAGTTTTTTTCTTCACCCAAGCGTTCCAGTCAGATGTAGAAGGGATGTTGCTGGGCCTAATTTGCTGGATTTCAACCTTGCTTTTTGTTGCTCGAACTTTTGTAACCAGCTTTGATTTAGAGGATCGCCATATATGATTCATCTGACCTAATATTGCTTCTTTATGCCAAACTTCATTCAAATTGAATCTCCCCTGTCAAACATTGCCAAGTAAAATCATTAAAACACAATTTGAAATACAAACAAATTACTCATATTCAGTCAAAAGGCTAAAAAACTTAACCTGAACTTCCTCCCACATTCTGTCTTTTGTATTTGCATCAAGATGTCTCCAGTCATCTAGCAGTACTGGGACATGCTCCCTCACAAGTATTCCAAGGAAGGAGGAGAGTGCCGCTGATCCTTTACCAACATGCGCACCTATAGCATTAAATTCAACTTCCAACTTTTCATCTGCATTTTTGGCCACTTTCCTCAACTTAGTTGGACCTCTAGTCTTCTTCTTTTTTATCTCTGATTGTTGTGTTTGTGCTTCAGAAGGGTTAGAACCATTTGTTGTGGAAGCCGGGATTTGTTCATCTTGTACCCGGTGTGACTGTGCTTCTACTTCTTCTGCTGAACCAATATATTCTCCATTATGCAGTGATTCCCTATTAACTTGATCCTCTTCTTCATAAAAATTAGCATCACTCTTCTCTCCTTCCTTCTCCTCTATAACAGGCTTCTTCTGTCTCTTCCGAGGCAGTGATGGTACAGGAGTCACATCTTGGCCTTGTTGGCGCTTACTGCGACGAATTTGTTTAACTTCTTTCTAAACTCAAAGTCTTCTTGGCTGTCTATATCCTCAACTTCATCTACATTCTGCTGCTGAGATGGTTGAGTGCCTTCAGTCGCCATAAAAGCTGTTCTAAACAACTCGTAAGCCTCATTTTCAGATGAATCGACATTAGGTGTCTTCTCATTCATTATATCCCCGTGTAAACTCCAACATTTACTTCTCTTGTACTTCTGATCCATCCCTTTGATGACTAGATGTTCCACCACTGTATCCATTGACTGATGACAAACATTGCGGCAAAGAAGACAAGGACAGAACATTTCTGATGGATTACCCAAATTACTTGCTGATTCAACCACAAACTTAGTTGCTCCTGCTTCATACTCAAGGCTATTCCTACACGTTAACAAATAGTACCCATTACAAACTGAGAACAGTCAATCATAAAATAAAATCAATGCATATATGTAAGAACAAGTTAATACCTTGGCAACCAAACCCAAGCTTTATCCATTTCACAAGAGCTCCGACCAAATGTGCATACAAGTAATTTTCAGAGGCAGTCACTTTCAAAGCCAAAACAACAATACAAGTAATCTGATAGAAGAATCATATACCTGATAGAGTTTGTTCTCTTCTGATTAACTCGAACTACAACAGAAAAAGCAAAAATAGAAATCAATTAAACTCAAATTAATAAATCTACAAATCCAAACAAAAATTAAAAGAAATCGATTTCATTATTAGTCTTTGATTTGGCTCTGTTTACCTTCTCTTGGGTGTTGACTCCTTCAATCTGGAAAAGTGATGTGTTTGGATACTGGTTCGACTACGACCTGAACATTGAAGTAAATGTCAGACCAGATCTAGTTTCAAATTGTTAGGACTCGTTCAAACATAACTCAGTTAACAAGGAAGATGTGAAAGATACACAAAGCAGCTCAAAGCAGTTCAAAGAACATGTAGATACAGTCTCAAATGTGTAAGCGATTCTACCTAAATCCTCAAATCCCTAAATCCCCAAATTCTAAATCCTCAAATCCCTAAATTGACCAAACCCAAACCCAAATCGTCATCTCGCAGCTCTCTCTCTACAAATCAAGAACAAATTTGTGATTAAGTTGGATTTACCTTCGATTTAGTGGGATTCCCAAACAGATCGAGCATACAAGGAAGATGAGAGAACCTAAGGAAGATGCGGAGAGAGCAAAGAGGTTGAAATTTTTCGGAAATTTCTGTTTTGTGTTTGTCGGAGATAGCAAAGAGGAGAGAAAGAGGAAACCCTAAAAATTGAAGACTTAGAAACCAATCACGCTCCGTAAAAAATCTCAATATCGTATTCGTTTAGAAGAGACCTTGTTGTTTTGTTTTATTGCAAGAATTCTAAATTCATGACTTGTAGGGAGGGACTTATGTCAGTCGACAAAGATGAGCTAAGGGGAAAAAGAAAAGAAATGCCCAAAAATATTTCTAAGTGTAGTAGCGGGAATGGGAAATTTTTAGCGCCCAACCCTTTCAATAGCGTTTTAATATGGTAATGCTATTAAATATACTTCCGCGTCATGTAAAAATTGTGAAACACTATCCATAGCGTTTCAACAAGGTAGAAACGCTATTGAAAGTTCAGAGGTCCTCTAACAATAGCAGAATGACTACAAACGCTATTGTATAGTGCTATTAAAACCCGATATTCCTGTAGTGAAGCTTCCATCACTGTTTTGCTCTGTATCATTATGTTTCCAGCTCCATCCCTTTGTTTCATCAAACACGACATCACGACTAACTACTATTTTTCTTGCTTGAGGATCGAGTAATCGATAAGCTTTGGATCCAGGTTCTATTCCTAGGTGAATAAGAACACGTGACCTGTCATCTAATTTCTTCAAGTGATGTTTATCCACCTTTGCATACGCAGCACATCCAAAGACTCGAATATGACTGATTGCTGGCTTCTTGTCTCGAAAATATTCATAAGGAGTTTTATCCTTTAAAGCTCGTGTTGTAACTCTGTTTAAAAGATAGGTAGAATGCCTAATAGCTTCTCCCCATAGGTAATTTGGCATGTGCATATGTTTTAAAATACTTCTCGTCATCTCCATCAAAGTTCTATTCCGTCTTTCAACAACTCCATTTTGTTGTGGAGTATACGGAGCAGTGAGATGCCTTTTGATGCCAGATTCTTCACAAAAAATGTTGAACTCATGAGAAACAAACTCTCCTCCTCTGTCTGTTCTTAGAGTTTGATTCTTGCTTCAGATTCTTTCTCAACAAGGTTCTTGAAGTTTTTAAACTTTTGGAAAGCATCTCCCTTTTCTTTTAACAAAACTGTCCACATGTATCGAGAATAATCATCTATTAGCACGAAGATGTACCTATTTCCAGCACTGGTACTTGGCGTTATTGGTCCACAGAGATCACCATGTATGAGTTCCAGCTTTTTAGTTGCTCTGTAAGTAGATTCTTGTGGGAATGCTGCTCTGGTTTGCTTTCCAAGCAAGCATGAACCACAAATTTCTTTTTCAAGAACAAACGTTGAAGCTCCTTGAACCAATTCCTTGTCTATCATGGCTTTTATGGTCTCTAGACTTACATGTCCCATTCTTGCATGCCATAGGCTTGATTCACTCACAGTTGTCAGATATAAGCAAGTGTTGTCCTTTAAACCCATTTTAACCTTGTATAAACGATTCTTGGACCTCTCTGCTTTTACAAGTAACAACCCATCACGATCATGCATTGTCAAGTAGCCATCTTTCAGTCTTATGTCACATCCTGATTCTGTAGCCTGTCCTAGACTTATTATATTGCTCTTCAGATCAGGTATGAAGTAAACATTGGTCATTACTCTTGATCTTCCGTTTAGGTCTATGAATGCAATCGTCCCCTTTCCTTTAATATCAATGCGTGAGTCGTCTCCAAATCTTACCTTCCCAGTAACAGAGTAATCAAGCTTATCAAAGTATCTTCTATCACCTGTCATGTGGTTGCTAGCTCCATTATCAAGGTACCACACGTTTTCTCCATCAATGTTTGTCTCAAACTTGCTAGGAACGCAACTTTTCTCATTTAAGTAAACAATTTCATGCATCATAAGTTCATCTGCAACTTGAGTATCCTTTTGTTCATTCTCTTGTGCTTCTTGCAATTTTAGTAAGCGGTCAGGACAGTTTGAGGCATAGTGACCGATCTTATCACATCTATAACATGTTATTTGTGATGAATCTCGACCACCATAACGTCCTCGTCCTCTTCCTCTGTAAAAGTTTCTGCCTCCACGTCCTCTGCCCCTGTATTCATTGTTGTAATCTCGGTTTGAGTAGCTGTTTTGAGAATCCATATTGGTGTACAACAGCTTGCTTTGATCCTCATGTGAATCTTCTTCTTCGATGACACGTTCTTCATAGACCTTAAGACGTCCAACTATATCGTCAAAAGTTGTAGTATTAAGATCTAATACTTGTTCTAAAGCAGCCACAATATGGATATATTTTTTCCGAGGAATACTTTTCAAAAATTTCTTAACCAATCTTGATTCTTCAATGTTTACACCTAGGGCAGATGATTTTGATGATATCTCAGATAACTTTCCTGCAAAGTCATCAATCTTCTCAGTATCCTTCATCTTGAGGCGGTCAAATTCAGCCATAAGAGTTTGTAACCTAGCATCCTTGACCCTGTCTGCTCCCACATGCCTTGCTTTAATCGAATCCCATACCTTCTTAGCTGTGTTAAGTTCTCCTATTTGTAGTACTAGGGCTTCAGGAATCGACTGGAAAAGCAAAGCAGTGGCTACATCGTTCTTCTCCACATCAATCGGGTTTGATGGTGTTTCTATAACCTCCCAAGCTTTATGAACTTTGAGTGCTGACCTCATTCTTATGGCCCATACCGTATAATTTGTTGCGTTTAGCATAGGACATTTAATTGAGGAAGATCCTCCTCCTTCTTTGCCTTTTTCGGTCACGGGAATAATATCCCCCATAGCTTCTTCTCGATCTCAAAAAAACTCTCACAAAGCTCTGATACCAAATCTAGTTTGTAGAAGTAATCAAGAACACAAAACAAAAGAATAACTCTCTTTTATTACTTAGGAAACTCTCTCAAAACCTAAGCCTCTCTCAATCACTTCTCAAACTCTCTAAAACCACACAAGTCATATCACAACTCGATATGTCCTTATATAACAAACGCTATGACCTAATCATATCTCAATTAGGAAAATACAAAGATCCTTCTAGATAACTCCTAGAGGATTTACATTTATCTTCTCATAAAACCAAAGACTTGCGGTTTAAGTAATCCTCCGGTTAAGCTTCTCTCAAGCTTAAACCAACATGAATTTAGACAGAAATGAAGATTCAAGGTTCGAAGGACGTGTAACAACGCGTAAACAGTTCCAACTATTTAAAATGTGCGTAAATAAATTAGTTCATACAAATTGGATATTGTTATCTCTATCCGTGGTTTTGTCGGAAAACGTACACACGATATGACCACATTAACATAGAAGTTGTAATGATTTATTGAGTACCTATGAAAGAGTGGTGTGAAATTGGCTTTTCAAAACACGCGCGTTCACATCACACGGTTCTTTATTTCGACAAACACATCTTTAACTTGTTCCATTTTTTTTTTTTTTTTTTTGGGCAAATATCTTGTTCCATAAGTTGTGGAAAAATGTGGACAAATAATAATACTATATACATTTTAATAAAAGCTGATTTTTAAATACGGAAGGTCACATGAAGATATATTGGAGTAGGAAAGTGACAAGGAGAAAGCTCGGAAACTTCGAAAAAGTAAAAGTTAGTCATAAAAAGCTTTGAAACTCTGGTTTTGCTACCCAAACTTTCTAAACACCAATAATATTTCTGTTATGCAACAAAATTGCCTAGGTGGAGATTAGCTAGACTAAAATGATTCTGAGTTATATAAGATGCATTAGTTTGTGAGATATGATATGATGATCATATGAAGATATATATTTGGTTTTTATCTAAAAAAGAAAAGAAAAGAAAGATTATTATTTGGTATGAAATTTGAGAAATGTAATGTCGAGAGCGTGAACATTAATTTTAACCTAATTCCCAAGATATAATCATATAAAATAGACCGACCAAGTTGACTCTATTGTGAACAAATAAATAGTGAACAAAGTGATCCAAAAATATCCTATCCAAATATTAAGAAAACAAATAAATTTTCTATTTTACTCTTTATTAATATATATACTTTCTTATTGACAAATACCTTAAATTCAAAAAGAGATGTGCAGAAAAAGGAAAGTGAATGGATTCAAAAAGTGTATAAGCCTGGGTTATGGCGATTCCTCATTAGTTGAACCAAATAAAGCTTTAACCAATAAACGAAACATAGCCATTAACAAAAAAAAGTTAAAGGAAAGAGATCAATATACGGTACACACCAGCATGAAAATCTTCTAAAAGGTATATAAGAAGTCAAATTATGGCAACTGATAATTATTAATTTGAACCAAATAAAGCTTACTAGAATTATGACAATAATTTGTTGTTGAAAACAAAAAAAAAAACAATAATTTAGAAAATGAATAGTAGTACTAAACTTGGGTCCCAAAGATTCCCTTAGAAATTTCTTCTTTTTTTTTCGAGTAGACACAGCCTTTATTCAAACTATATAATAATATACTCATACCCCCAAATACAACTTATACTCTCACGTCTTAATAACAAGAAAGAAAAAGGGTTTGATCTAAACTATCATCATGATGGGAAATACATTTGGTTCAAGCTTGGCGAGTTTATTCTTCTTGTGGGCAACTATTCAACAAATCTTCCCTAACCACCTCAAGATCGCTATTAAAGAGTTTCTTCTCTCCACAATCCAACAACTCTCATTTTTCCAAAGATTTTCCGACAGATTCATCAACTTCTTCTCTCCTTATGTCGAAATCAACTTCTCTCAATACGAAGATTATCAATTTAACCACGCTTTTGCAGCTATCGAGACTTACCTTGGGGCGAAAGCAACCGATAAAGCCAAGCATCTAAGAGCAAGCCAGGTTAAAGAGAGTAAAGGTTTGGTCTTGAAACGAGACGAGACTAAAGTCCGAGATGAGTATGAAGGAGTTACTGTCTGGTGGGAGATGGAAACCGACTCCACAGGATATAGAACGTTAAAGCTCACTTTCCATAGACGCTCAAGAGATATTGTAACCGATTCTTACATAAAATATGTTGTTGAAGAAGGCAAATCGATTGGAGCCAAGAACAAGCAGATGAAGTTGTTCACAAATAATCCGAGTTCTCACTGGGACTCTAGCAAGAAGAGTTTTTGGAGATATATTGATTTTGAACATCCCGCGAATTTTCAGACGCTAGCTATGGATCCAAAGAAGAAAGAGGAGATCTTGAATGATCTTGCTGCCTTTAGCAATGGTAAAGAGTATTACAAGAAAATTGGGAAAGCTTGGAAGAGGGGTTACTTGCTACATGGACCACCAGGGACCGGTAAATCGACAATGATCGCTGCAATGGCAAATCATTTAAACTACAGTATCTATGATCTTGAACTCACAGCTATAGGGAACAACTCGGAGTTGAGGAAGCTACTCACTGCTACTTCTAGCAAGTCGATCATAGTGATTGAAGATATAGATTGTTCTTTGGATCTTACGGGTAAGAGAAAGAAAGAGAGATACTTGATGACCTCGAGAGAAGATGGAGAACAAGGTAGCGAAGAAGACAAGAGTTTCGTAACACTCTCGGGGCTTTTGAACTTTATTGATGGGATTTGGTCTGCTTGTGGACAAGAGAGGATTATTGTCTTCACGACGAATCACTTTGCGAAACTTGACCCGGCTTTGATCAGGAGAGGGAGAATGGACATGCATATTGAGTTGTCTTACTGTAGTTTCGAGGCGTTCAAGATTCTCGCCAAGAACTATCTGGATCTTGATTCTCATCCTCTGTTCAAGAAGATTGAGTCTTTGATGAAGGAAACAAAGATCGCACCAGCTGATGTAGCTGAGAACTTGATGAAGAAGAATCTTGAAATAGATGCTGATGGATCTCTTAAAGATCTAATTCAAGCTCTGGAGATGAAGAAGAAGAGTCAGGGAGCTCAACTAGATGAACCAAAGGACAAATTTATCAATAAGTTTTATAAAGCATTTCGCATGTCATCTAAAGCATGATTCATGGTTAAATTTTATATTTTAAGTTTTTGACTATCCATAACTGTTCTGTTTATATGCTCCCAGTATGGTGTTATTGAACGTTTTTAAGCATTTCAGAATACAATGTGAATTTCTTAGTCATTCAAAAAGAAAAAAAAAAGTTAAGTTCGACATCTATACAAAAATTGTTGTACTTGTAAATTTTTATAATTAGTAGTATTCATTTTTCGAAAAAAGTAAAAGTTATACAGCTTTAGTCACATAATTCCTAGGTGGAGACTCTTTTTTTTTTTTTGACATCTTTGGATCGACAAGGTCCGATCCATAGCCAATCCCTACTACGCGGGGTAACGCGACTTAGTGGAGTCGAACTTAGGTGGAGACTCTAGATTAATATGATTTTGAGTTATATAATATGCATTAATTTGTGAGATATGAATGAATGATGATCATATGAAGATTGATATTTGGTTTTTATCCAAAAATAAATTAAAAATAAATAAAACAAATTGATATTTAGTATAAATGTTGAGAAACGTGGTATCGAGAGTGTGAATATAGGTTTTAACCTAATCCCCACAATATAAAATAAACCGACCAAGTTGACTCCATTGGACTTGATTAGTCGTCACTTGAAAGTTGTATCATGCACTTTTACGTAACTTTCATCATCATCCACTACTGCAAAATCATAGATTTTTAGAAGACTATGTTCATAAGTGTCTTTAGGAAACTTTTTAACGAAATTTCTATGTGTTCAAGAGTATTACGAAGAGAGGAAATACTATGAAAATCAAACAATTTAATTACATGAGTCTGTTATAAAATTATAACAAAACACATTTACATATGTGTATATATTTGGACCTACCCATGGGACACATTCTCCCCAGGAATTAGTCCTAAACCCCTTCCTAAGTCTAAGGATTTACCCTGAGTTATTAAAAAAAAAAAAAAAGTAATTTGGGGACCAAGGGATCTCGGATAAGATTAAGAAATCTACATATATATATATATATATATATATATATATAATGGGAGAGGTGCCTCTCCATCTAGGGTGTCCACCTCATCATCCAAGTCATCCTATTTTAATTTTTTGTGGACTCCACATATTTTATTTATTAAAAGAAAAAACATTAAAACTATTAACTATAATTAATTCACATATTTTGTAAATATAAAGGAGTTTTTGCTAAAATGCCACTTTTTCAATGCCACTTTTCAAAAATACCCCTTTTTAAAACCTTATAAAAAATGCTCTTAAAAATATAAGATTTACCCAAATATGTATGTAATATTATTAAAACATACACAAACTACATTTCTATGTATCTAAAATCTTATAAATACTTTATAAATACCTTATAAATGCATTTTAAATACGTTTAAAAACCTTTAAAATATCTTGTAAAACCTTTGAAAAACCTTAAAAATCCTTTAAAATAACTTGTAAAACCTTTAAAAATACCTTATAAAACCTTATAAATACTTGGATCGAGTCTTCAAGTAGTAGTTACAATCCATAAGTACCTTATAAACCTAATAAAACTTTATAAAATTTTCAGATTTAAAAAGGGGCATTTTTTAAAATGGACATCTAAAAGGGGCACACCAAAAGGGGTATTTTTAACAATTTCCCTTTATATTATTATATTTCATTAAACAAACACAATAATTTACAAAAGAATAAATTAAATATTAAAAAAAAACAAATTTATAACAAAAATATGAAATTTTTGAATATAGATTGGATAAATATAAAATTAGATAATTATATCTTAACATTTAATGAGTAGATATTCCTAAATGACTAGAGATATGAAAAAAAAAAAAAACTTAACATATAATCATTTTTAAGAGTTACAATTATTTAGTATTATAAAGAAAAATAAGACTTAAAAATATACTAAATTTAAAAGTTTTTACTGAAAATAAAAGTAATTCATTTATGAAAAAAAATAATTTACAAAAGCATAAATTAAATATTAAAACGAAAAAAATAAATTTATAAAACAAAAAATGAAACTTTTGAATATAGATTGGATAAATATAAAATTAGATAATTATATCTTAGAATTTAATGAGTAAATATTCCTAAATGACTAGAGATATCAAAAAAGAAACTTAACATATAATCATGAGTTACAATTATTTAGTAGTATAAAGAAAAATAAGAATTAAAAATATACTAAATTTAAAAGTTTTTACTGAAAATAAAAGTAATTCATTTCTGAAAATACACATTTAAGATTAAGAATAAATTTGTTAATGTTAAAGTATCAATTCATGATACTGATTGAAAATAAGAAGGATTGAGTACATATTATTATTTATAATTATAATATAATATCAATAGTTACATTAATAAAATTTTCTATATTATCAATGTCTTCAAAATTATAAAGTGGTCGTTTTTTTTTTAAAATCAAATAAATATCTAAAAAAGAAAAATTAGATATTAATCAGTATTTATGAAATTTTAACACAGATCAAAAAAATTTAAAGTGAATTGAAAAAAAAAAAAACTATCTTAAACATTACAAATAAAAATAAAATAATCCAATCGAGTAAGAAACTGTGTAATAATAATATTTGCGAATGCTATCTATACTAGTATTTTTGCAACACTTTAGTGACGGGTGGGTAAAAATGCTTCCGGATATATCGGATACCCAACCCGTTTTAAAAATTCCTTCACAAAAAAAACACTTGGATCGGGTTAAATAAAACCCATATATTGCACCGGATATTCTATATTTAATAATTTAGATATTTAGAATTATGATTCTCCTATCATCTTTGTTTGATTTGTTTTTAATTATTTTGAATCATCATATCTTATTATATAAAGTATGATTTTCAAAGTTAATAACTCACGAGATCGTGATACGTGTCTAATATTTCGATCTCAGATTTTGCCATGTGTCAAATAAATTTTCCTTTTACATAAAAAAAAAGTAAAAAGATAATTATAAGAAAATTATAAATATAAACAGTTTTAAAATGTAAAAAGCTAATTATAAAGAAATTGTACATATATTTCCATAAGAGATTTTGCCATCTAGCAACTAAAATTTTTGTTTAAAAAATTAAAAATTGTTAAAACATAATTATAACAAAATTATAAATTTAAACAGTTAGATCATAGTAAGAAAACTATACGTATATTTAAAGAAATCATATGTATATATTCCATAAAAATCAAAATTATTAAATTATGCTAAACATTTTATTTATAAGTTACTAATTGTATAAGAAAAAAAATTTAAAAATAGAAAAAAAGGATTAAGGAAATTATACAATCAGTAATTATTCATATAAAAAAAATGTAGATAATCACCTTTATATAAACAATAAGTTGTCTCATATTTTCTCACCAAGCAAACTAATTTCTTCACACACCACCAATGGTTTAACTTCGTTTTATTGGTAAAACTTTTTTTTTGTTATAAATATTTTTAGGATAATATAAGTAACTAACAATTGACAGAAAAAATAATTAAAGAAATAGCCATGAGTTAAAAAAGTTTTGGAAACTAACGTTTCTCAGATATGTGAAAATTCAAAATGGCTCTCAAACAAAAGACAAACATACAACTGCATATTCTAATTTATAGAAAAAAAAAACATGAAATAAATACTAATAACACGAAAAATCTGAAGAAAAAAAAAATCAAGATTAGAATTCTGACGACGAATTAGAGACATCCAACAATGTCATTTAATAAAATAGTATGTCATACTGAAAGAAATAGGAGTAACATGATCATGTAAAAATGGAGGTGATAATGGTGGTGGCAGATGGTTACGGAGGTGGTGATTGGATGATTTTAAAACATAACATGATCATGTAAAAATTACATGCATTATTATTTGTTGTAAATATATCATGTCAAATATTAAAACAAACACTGTGAATTACGATGGTTTTCTAAAAATATCATGTGATATTTAAAACCAAAAAATATATGGCAATGGAGGCAAATTAAGAATTATGAACGGCGATGGACATAAACTAGAGTTGTTGTCGGGGCTTCGCCTGATGTCGGAGAAGATAAAAAAAAGTGGAGTAATTAGAGAAGTTGGGGAAAAAGGAGAAGAAGCGATTACAGTGGTGTTAGTGTTGATGACGGTTGTTCAAGCTTGGTGGTGGTGGCGGCGATAAATATTGATGAAGATGGTGGATCGAAATTAGCGAGATTCGGTATTGATGGTGGTTGGTAGTGATTGTAACAGTAGTGAGATTCATTTGTGGTGGTGGGTCAGAGTAGTGAGACTAGGTGGTGATGTCCGACGAAGGGAAGAAATGGAGATAGGGGAAAAAAGAGGGAAAGAATGAGAGAGAAAGAGGAGTTCAAGCAAAAATAAGAGAAATCTAATGAGAGAAATAGAAAGATTTGAGAATTTATCGTTGGCGAGCGGAAGGAATAAAGAGAAAACGAAAAATGGGTAATATGAGCCAAAAATTGACAATGTCACGCCTACATTGTCACAGTTTATTTCCATCTCGCCTACATTGAAATTATAAGATGTAAAACAACTCTTCCGAAGGATTTAAATAACTTATTAAAATTCAATAATACAACCTATGAACATTTATGACTTCATAACTTATAATAAGCAAAAAATATATATAATTTTATACATAGGTCAATATTTATATTAGATGATTTAATAATTAGTATAACATAACTACAAATATTGTTTTATACTGCGCAATATGTATTATAAATTTATATTTAAAAAATAATTAAAGTGCTGCATTATCTAAAATATATATGTTTATATAATTTTAGTTATGCTTACAAAAATAAAATTAAAAGTTAAAAATAATAATTTCGACCTGCAACCCGTGCAACGCACGGATCCATATCTAGTAATACATAAAGTAAAAAAAAAAAATCAAATTTTTTTCTGCATATATTGTGATTCGAAATTTTAAAAACGGACATATATTATCCAATTGACGAAAATGTGTGTGTTCAACATTCTACATCGATTAAAATATTTAAACAATGATTCATAATCATATCATAAATAAGATCAACATTAATAAAATAAATGAGTTTTTTAGCCGGACGGGTTTGGCGGGACGGTTTTTTGAATCAACAATAATAAAAAGATTAAATATCACTAATCCGCCGCTTCAATACGATTAAATCCTTTTTTTTTTTTAATACCACCAATATTAGATATATTAAATCAGTCTCATTTAGAAAATATTGTATAAAATCAAAATTGTCCCGTCGTATAACGTTACTTAATAACAATTGTAAACTATAAAATATAAATGTCTTTGAAAACGATACAATTTACAAACTTTTATCTATAATAAATAATCGTTAAATTTTTAAAATTTACTAATATTAGAAAACAAATTACGGGACGGGTTAAGAAATTACAGGACGGGCTATATGGTGGACGAGTTTGAATCAATATTTATAAAATTTTAAAATATCATTAACATGTCGGTTTAATACAGATTCAATTCTTAGTTTATTAAAATATAAATGTCTTAGAGAATGATACAATTTATAAACTTTATATATAATAGAAAATCATTAAATTTTAAAATCACTACTTTTAGAAAACAAATAACAGGACGGGTTAAGAAATTATGGGACGGGTTATATATATTTCGGAACGGATTTATATGGCGAACTGGTTTGAATCAATATTTATAAAAATTTAAAATATCATTAACATGCCGCTTTAATACGAGTTAAATCCTCAGTTTATTATTGTTCCGTGAACTCGTGATATACCGTTACTTGATAATAATTATAAACTATAAAACATAAATATTTTATAAGGAGATACAATTTATAAAATTTTATATATACTAACTTTAAAAAATAAATCATCCCGCGGTGTACCGCGGGTTAAAATCTAGTTTGGAAATTAGAATAGTAATGGTATATTGAAGACTTTTTTAATTAGAAGTAAAAATCAAAGATTAAAAAAAAATATTTTAAAATTAGAATGATTTATATGAGTTCATAATTTACGAATTTTACGAAAATCAACTTTAAGAATACTATATAGAATTGTAATATACGTCAATGTGAATTTGTTTTTTGTATTTTTTAACGGTCAAGATAATGTGCAAAATTTGATGTTGAAATCCAATGTTTGTGAATAGGAATGAGTCCATAAATGAGATTTGTTGTCTATTAAACCAAAAAGCTACATTGATTATTCCCTCCGTTTCAATTTATTTGTAGTTTAGAATAAATTTTTTGTTGCAAAATAAGTGTTATTTTCATCTTTCTATGCAAAAATTAAATGTTTTAAATAGTTTTTGACTAATTATATTTACAATATATTATTTTATTGGTTGAATTAGTTGTAGTAAATAATGTTTTTATGTAAAAGAGATAAATTAAATGAGATTTTTTGTGATTTCTTAACCTATGTGCAAAAACCTTGAACTACAAGTAAATTGAAACAAAGGAAATATATAATAACCAATAAAGGAAAGAAATCAAAACACCAACTAGAAAATCTTATGAAAAAAGGCATATATATTTGGTATTGAAAAGGAAAAACAAATAAAATTGGGACAATAGTAGTACACAACTTGGAGAACAAGGACTTCCAAATTAGAAACACAAAGCTTTGTTCTTGTTTTTTCTTGGAACTCACACAATTACCTTTACAAGTAATACACACTATATATACTCATAGCCAAACACAACCAACTCCTAAAAAACAAGAAAGGTTTTGATCTAAAAAATTATGATGATGGGAAATATGTTTGGTTCAAGCTTGGCGAGTTTGTTCTTCTTGTGGGCAACTATTCAACAAATCTTCCCTAACCACCTCAAGATCGCCATTAAGGAGATTTTTCTCTCTACAATCCAACAACTCTCTTTTTTCCAGAGATTTTCGGACAGATTCATTAACTTTTTCTCTCCTTATGTTGAAATCAACTTCTCTGAATACGAAGATTATCGAATTAATCACGCTTTCGACCCCATCGAGACTTACCTTGGGGCAAAAGCAACTGATAAAGCCAAGCATCTAAGAGCAAGCCAGGTTAGAGAGAGTAAGGGCTTGGTTTTGAAACGAGACGAGACTAAAGTCCGAGATGAGTATGAAGGAATTCGTGTCTGGTGGGAGACTGAGACTGATTCCATAGGATTTAAAACATTGAAGCTCACTTTCCATAGACGCTCGCGAGATATTGTAACCGAATCTTACATAAAATATGTTATTGAAGAAGGCAAATCTATTGAAGCCAAGAACAAGAAGATGAAGTTGTTCACAAATAATCCGAGTTCTCATTGGGGATCCAGCAAGACTAGTCTATGGAGATATATTGACTTTGAGCATCCTGCGAATTTTGAGACATTAGCTATGGATCCGAAGAAGAAAGAGCAGATCTTGAATGATCTTGCTGCGTTTGGCAACGGTAAAGATTATTACAAGAAGATTGGGAAAGCTTGGAAGAGGGGTTACTTGCTCTATGGACCACCGGGGACCGGTAAATCGACAATGATAGCTGCAATGGCGAATCTTTTGAACTATAGTATCTACGATATCGAACTCACGGCTATACAGACCAACTCAGAGCTGAAGAAACTACTCACTGCTACTTCTAATAAGTCGATTATCGTGTTTGAAGACATTGATTGCTCGTTGGATTTTACAGGCAAAAGAAAGAAGAAAGAGAGCAACTTGATGATCTGGAGAGAAGACGGAGAACAAGGCAATGAAGAAAACAAGAGTTCCGTAACACTCTCTGGGCTTTTGAACTTTATTGACGGGATCTGGTCTGCTTGTGGACAAGAGCGGATCATTGTCTTCACGACGAATCACTTGGCAAAACTTGACCCGGCTTTAATCAGGAGTGGGAGAATGGATATGCATATTGAGTTGTCCTACTGTACTTTCGAGGCGTTCAAGATTCTAGCAAAGAACTATCTGGATATTGATTCTCATCCCCTGTTCAAAACGATCGAGTCTTTGCTGAAGGACACGGAAATCGCGCCAGCTGATGTTGCTGAGAACTTGATGAAGAAGAATCGTGAAATAGATGCTGAGGGATCTCTTAAAGATCTGATTCAGTCTCTAAAGAGGAGGAAGAAGGTTCAGAGAGCTCAACTAGATGGACACAACAAATATAGTAACAAGATAGTTAAAGCATTTCACATGTTATTTTAAGCCCTTAATTATGCGTACGTAGCTGTTTCCTAATATACCCTTAATAACAATCTCTAATACATATTAACACCACAAATAATAAGAAAACAAAGAAACCTCTTTTTTCTCTAATCCAAATCAAAGAAACTAAAAAAGGGTTCCAAAGTACCTGAAATTTGTTCGCATGAATGATCTTCAATCCAATCGTTGAATGTAAAATCGCGGTCCTGGCCATCGACAGATCCCTGTTTCAGGTATAGCCAAAGCTAAACATTGTTATCATTTTCGAATTCAAACATGAATGTTTTAATGAAATTTGCAGGAAAGATTGGCTTTAAAAGATTCTTCATACGATTTTGTTTTGATAAGATACATTTTTTTTTGTGAGAGATTTTTGTGTTTTGATACAACAGAACAATAATGGAGATTTTCAAAAAGGCTGAAACCGTGCGTTTACGTAGCTACCACGACAAGTACCTTTTAGCAGAGGAGGACGAAGATTCCGTGAGCCAGGACAGAGATGGGCGGTCTATGAACGCAAGATGGACGGTGGAGATTGTAGAAGTGACAAACGTGATCCGTCTTAAGAGCTGCTTTGGCAAGTACCTAACCGCTTCAAACATCCCAATGTTCCTTGGCATGACCGGGAAGAAGGTAACGCAAACGCTGCCACGACGGCTAGATTCATCAACTGAATGGGAACCTGTTAGAGAAGGCGTTCAGGTTAGGCTTAAGACAAGGTACATGTCTACTTTGATCTCTCTTCTAACGTAATATTCTTCAAAGATCACCACTCCCCTATGTAGTCTTCTTGAATATGAATGGTGTGAGAGAATTTGAATTCAATAGGTATGGACAGTATCTCCGAGCTAATGGGGGTTTACCGCCATGGAGGAACTCGATTACACATGATATACCTCATAGGTCAACCACACAGGACTGGGTTTTATGGGATATTGATATTTTGGAAAGCAGAAAGAAGAAAGCACCTCCAGTGGCTGAACCGGCTTATACGCCTCTCCCGCCTCCCCCACCACCACCAGAGCTTCTGCAGGAAAGAAAAGATGATCATCAAGAGCCCCATTCACCCAAAGGATTCTCTCTCCGGTCCCCAAGGTTTTCCAAATCCGAGGTTTGATCAGTTCTATACTCATCACTAAATAAACAAGTAGTTGTAGCATCTTATCAAAGAGACAAGATTTTTCTGGGCATCAAAGATCACTGACCTATACTTTTTTTTTTTTTTTTTTTTTACATTTTATGATCAGTCTGATGACAGTGTCAGCTCACCGGTTAAGGCAGATGGCAGGCTAATTTATTATAGGATTGGGGACGAAGATGGGAATGTAGATGAAACAACAAAGGAAGAGCTTTTCTGCTTCAAGGGAATGGGACTAGAAGAGCTCAAAGAGAAGCTCAAAGAAGAGACAGGTCTAAGTGACATATCAATCTGTTCCAAAAACCCTTTAAACGGGAAATTATATCCCCTTCGGTTGCATCTCCCTCCCAACAACACAAAGATGCACGTTGTCTTGATCCCCTCGCCTTCAAAAGGTTAGGTTTCTATTTATCAGTTCATACTTTTCCAGCTTACCAAAACCTAAAACAATGGAAAACCAGGAGAAAAATTAGACACTGAGGTCAACAGAACAGTTACAGTTTTGTGGATTCTTCAGTCATGGAAATGTGTGAACAAGATGGTTTTTAATTTTCAGTTAGTTAGTTTCGTTTTTTGGTTAGATTTGAGCTATGGCTTCCCTGAATCATTATTACATAACTGAAGAGCTTGTGGTTTGCGAAAATTTACAGGGGATGCTGCAAGCACTTCTTGAAGACTTGAAGTATGGTTCAAAATTACAGAAACTGTGTTATCCAAGACCAAAAACTTATAGTTTCTGTTATTGTGTAATTTGGTAATACGTTGTACACCAACATGATACTAAGAGAATCTAGCATCAGGCTGTATGTGAAATGCTACCTAAGCAACTAAAACCCAATACTAAGCCAAACATGCAAGAAGATATTGTGTCGGGATTTCGTAAGACTTCCCATCAAGTTCTTGTCAATAAGCTTCTTTCATCTTAGTGAGATGCTAATGAGAGCAAATCATATGAGTGAATTTTTAAACAAGATCCTAAATGTTTAAGTTTTTACATGTCAAGAATAGTTTCTAAGGAGCATAACATAACTTAAGGCAGCAACTGTTAAGCAAGACAAGAGCGTACCTGAGCGAACCATTGTCCCTGAGCGAAGAAAAGATACACACACCCTTATCAATCACTGGTTGCCTGCAGTAACAGATTTGATTACCTAGAATATAGGATTAAGAAAATGGAAAATATATTATAAGTTATGTCTTACGTTATTTATTCAGCTTTTCACTGTAAGAGATTCAATCCTCTCTATTCTCTACATGCTAAATAGGTGTGCCCAAACGCCATGCAAATTTCAACTGTATCTACTGTTTTCTTCATGCACTTCTCTTCCTCTCTCCAAGTCTCCAGATACCATAAAGTTTGAATCAGACACTTCTTTACAACGCTACTCTCAGGGTCCTTCCTGAGAGGCTCATCAATTTCTTCAGGCCTTGCCTAAGTTTCCTGTTCCTGTTTCGGGGGGTCAAATGCTGCATCGTGTCCAGAAGCTCCTGTTGGTCCTTCATAAGTACTCCTCGACTCCATTGCCACATAACCTTTGGACAGCGCTCCAGTGTATATTATGGGTCAGAGGTGCTCAATAGAAAATCTGTAGAAACGAGAGAACTCAAGAGTGTCCTTTGATAAGATTTGCAGGTTCAAGAATGAGTGTTACAAAATCTGCAAGGCATCAACAGATAGGAGATGAATCACTGTGTGAATTTGTAGCAGATTTGGGTGAGACACATCTCCCGAAACAAATTTGGTAACATTTCCATCCACCTCTAACACACTCCATCCTGGTGTCTTTCTTATCCCCCTCTGCTCTATCATTCCACGAACTTTAGATGCCTCGGGATTTCGTTGAACACTAAAGTATATATTAGATAGTTGAACAAGAGCTGCTTCCTCTTCCTCTGCATTTCCTTTCTCCAAGTCAAGAAGATTTTTAACAGCTAGTTCTCCGAGTTCAACATTCTTGTGCGTTCGACAACCATTTAGTAAAGCACCCCAAACAGATGCAAGAGGTTTCATGGGCATTTTTTCGATAAGATCAAGTGCATCATCTAATCTTCCAGCTCTGCACATCAAATCTACTATACAGCTGTAATGCTCATGCTTTGGAGTAATTCCGTATCGAGCTTCCATATTTCCTAACATTGCTCTGCCTTCTTGAAGAAATCCCCCATGAGCACAAGCAGCTAAAACCCCAAGAAGAACTACACTGTCAGGCTTAATACCATCTTCTCGCTCCATCCGGTCCAAACACGTCATAGCTTTCTTTGCATAGCCATAAGCCGCATATCCTCCAATTAAGGCTGCCCATGAGAAAACATTCCTCCTACTCAACTTTTCGAAAACTTCCACAGCCATCTCAATGCAACCACACTTAGCATACATGTCAACCAATGCCGTTCCTACAAACACATCAGACTCAATCCATCTCTTCTTCTTCACAAACTCATGAATCCACTTCCCTTGAGCTAAAGCCCCAACTTGTGCACAAGCAGTTAACGCCGTAGTAACCGAAAACTCATCAGGCTCTACTCCTCGTACCAACATCTCCCTAAACACCTCTAAACCCTCAGAACCTAAACCACATCTAACATATCCATTCATCAAAACATCCCATTTCACAACATCTGGTTTCGGAATTTCATCGAACACTTTGTGGGCATCTAACAAAACTTTATCTTCCACATAAATCCGTAAAATTCCAGTCTGTACATGACCATCCGATAAAAAGACACCATTTTTAACCACCCAACAATGAATTTGCTTACCCACAGAGAATAAACAAGCTTTAAAACAAGCAACAATCAAGAAATAAAACGTGAGATAACTTGGAGCTATATCTTCTTCCTTCACCATTAATCGAAAATATCGTAAACCCAAGTGAGGAAGAGAACTTCGTGAGCAGATTCTTATCATAGTATCGTAAACGAATGAATTACGAATCTGAATCGAATCGAATATAGTGGAAGCGTAGTGAAAGTGTTTGTTTAGATTGGGAAGAAGGAGAAAAGCTGTGAGAAGTTTGCTAATTGCGTAAGTGTTTCGATGGAGGCCATGGATGATGAATAGAGAATGTGTTGATTTGATTTGGTTCACTGTGTTGCAACGTTGACTTGCGAGGATTAAACTCTTCCATGATTTATGGAAGCTTGAGAGAACACTCATCCTCGTTGTTGACGTTCAATGTCATCATCGCTTAAGTTAAAAGGCAAGGGTTATTTAACGGTTCTTTTTTAGAAAAACGGCACGATGTTTGCTTCAAATAGTTCGTAAGTAGTGAAAAAAACGAAGAAGATGAAGGGTAAATTGCTTTTTCATGAGAGGTTTTTAGATTTTTTTTATTTAAACCCGACTCGGACAGTGAACCGGACTACCTTCTGGATCACCAGGTTATTAGATCAACCGAGTTTGCCTATGGATCGATTGATTCAAATTAATTTAATTTATATAATATTTATAAAGATTATATAGTTTTATAAATATAAAAATAAAAATAATCATACAATGTTAACAAAATATGAAATCTAACGATAATAATAAAGTGACTAAAATTTTTTGGTCAACCTAAATCCGTTTGAGAAGAACCAAAGAACTGAAAAAGTTCTAAAATTAATTGAATAGTACACTAAAAGCGTAAAACCTTATATTTTAATCCAAAAGACCAAAATCAAATGAATTTTGTTAAACCAAGATCCGGCCGGTTCAACCGATTCACGGGGTCGCGGATTAATGATGGGTTTTTGTAGGTTTTTATGATTTTGAAATTGTCGGATATTAGCACTAAACCAAAAGTGGAAAAGTGTTTGGGTTGCGGATTAACCTGTCGGACAGGACAGTTAGGGTCGAGCGTGAAAACACTGGTTTTAGCAAATTAATTAGATTGGTTTTACAAGAATATAGTTTTACAAAAATTGAATGGATTGGTTTTACAAAAAATATGATTTTGATACACCAAATGTAACTACACGAGATTTGGTATGCAAAACAAATTGTGACAATAAGGAAACTTGCAATGTACATCCAGTTGCTTTGCATCATTTTAATCTTGGAATTAAAAAGAAAAAAAAAAAGAAAAAGAAAAGATACACAGTAGTTGATCTTATTATTGTCAGGTTCAAACTTTCAAACATTAATTTGAAATTGAATACTCCCTCTATATTCGAATACTTGTCGTTCTACACTTTTTTTTTTTTTGTTAATTAGTTGTCGTTTTGACATTTCAATACAACTTTTGAATAAAACTTCCTAAATTAACCTCAATTATTTGATCACAATTAGTCGGTCTAAATTACCAAGAGACAAATATGAGGTTAAAATAGTCATTTTCAACTTTTCCTTAATAAGCGTAATTATAGTTAAAACGACAACTATTCGAATACAGAGGGAGTAGTAAATTAAGAAACAATATTAGTTGTTGGATTACACCATTAACATGAACACATAAACTGATAAAAGCATGTGTCGTCCCTTCCACAATGGGGGTCTTTTCGTAGTTTTGAGATAATCAGAGAGGTTTTTCTTGTTGACATCGTTGCGTTGCAAGAATGTAGCACTTTTTCTACAGATTTTCTAGAAAACTTGAAAATGACCTCGACTCGCGGTATTTTTACGGACTTGCAAGAAATTGTTGGTATTCCCTCGCAAATCCGTAGCAATATTGCGAGACGAGTGTCTTGATATTTAAAATTAGAAAAGTAGGTTATAAATTTTTCGATCATAGGATGAATTACAAATATATATATATATATATATATATATATATATATATATATATATATATATATATATATATATATATATTCAAAAATTATAAAATTTTATTTAAAATACAAATAAAACTCGAAACTAATTGACTTAATATACATTTAAAGAAATAAAATGCTAAACCTCTTGGAATGTCTGGTTCCTGTTCTGATTCTTATCTCGGTTCCAATTCTGGTTTTGGTCTTGGTTCTGGTTCCGGTTCTGGTTCCATTCTCGATATATATATTCGAAAATTACAAATTTTGAGGGGAATGAGAGTATTGCATGCTTTCTGGAAGAATACTTATTCATAAGAAAAACAAAATACAAAAGCATCAATCTTAGCTTTGTGAGGAGAATGAGAGAATTGCTTTTGGCAGAATACTTTATTCATATGAAAAACAAAATCTTTGCCGTAGGTAAAATTTTAAATTAATTTCTATATATATATATATATACTAGGGGAGGTCCCCGCGCCCAGCGCGGGGTTGTATGTTGATTAAGACCAGAATTAATAATTAATATTTAGGGTTATCAGGTTAGGGATATTTATTGAATTAATTTTGTCAAAAGTCTAATTTTTATAACGCCATTAATATAGAATTATGGTAAAACGCTATAACTTTTGATATATATTATTAGTAATCAATAATTAATAGTGTTTTTGAATCACAAACAATTATTAGTGTTTATATCTTGATATATATAATAGAATTAAATATAAAAAAATCTATATATTTAAACCAACAATATATTAGCAACGCCCTGACCGCCACTGTCCATGGGTTCCCACGTCCAGTCTCGGTCTTTAGGCCCATTTTTTTTGTTTTGTCGTACTCTTGATTTTATGACATATCCATGCTTACTCGTTTCTTTCATATTAGCAACGCCCCGACCGCCACTGCCCGTGGGCTTCCCACGTCCAGTTTCGGTCTTTAGGCCATCTTCTTTGTTTTGTCGTACTCTTAATTTTATGATATATTCATGCTTACTCGTTTCTTTCATATTTGTAATGCCACGACCGCCACTGTCTGTGGGTTCCCACGTCCAGTTTCGTTCTTTGAGCACATCTTCTTGGTTTTGTAGTACTCTTGGTTTTATGACATATTCACGCTTCCTCGTTTCTTTCATATTTGTAACGCTCCGACCGCCACTGTCCGTGGGTTCCCCACGTCCAGTTTCGGACTTTAATTTGGGCCCATCTTCCTGGTTTTTGTTGTATTCTTGATTTTATGACATATTCATGCTTTTAGATTGTATGTCACTGGAGTTTTTCGTAGTTGGAAACAAATATTTGAAAAATATAATCTCTTACCATATCTCTTACCTATCAAGTAAGTCATCTTGCTCTTTGAAGTAGTTATGTACGTAAAATTTCAATGGTATAGAAACAGGCAGCTCCTTTGTATATATCGTGTCATATTTATCGTCCCTATTGTAGTATCTTTGTCTCTACCTTCGCCATTGGTCGCTGCGTAACCCTTCAGTTGATCTCTTGTTTATAAAACCAATATAAAAAGTTGTAAGAAAAATATCATTTTCTTAACTGTATCGTATATGTATTTGTAGTATATTGATCTGAGATTGCAAAGATGTATGCCTATCAAGAAGCTCTTAGCAAAGTAAACACTGAAGATAGGTACTAAAAATGAGAGGGTTACAGAGAGCAAGTATCTATCCCTTAGAAACCACTATGTGCAACTGAGAATAATTCATATATGTACATACATACACATGTATACAACGTATTGAAGCTTTTAAATTTAAATATCGAATGCTACAAAACTGGAAAATTGCTTGTGGAGAAAGCAATATGAACATGGCCACATATATAACAAATAACCGATTATGCTTGTCGTAGATCATTCTCTTTCAAACCAAAAGTTTTACCTAAACAACATATCAAGTGACTCACAAGAGATACATAAGAGCCATATCCTAAAAATATCCGGCAAAGCAAAAACGCTCCAGGTTCGAGAAGGAAGTCATTGGAAAATTTGAGTATATACCAAACTGGAGAGTAATTCGGCTACAAAGAGAGATGTGTTGGCTTTGAAGAAAAAGCTATGTGATGCTCTACCTTTTATTTATGAATTTTATGCTATGAATATATGTTTTTGTTAGGGTTCAACTTCAGTCTCCGGATTAGAGACTTATATTCATCCGACAAACAATTCGATGTCACAATCAACGCTACAAAATTGGTGGGTTCTCTCTATTAACAAACAAAAAAAAATTCTGGGGTATATATATTTTTTTTGTTTTGTTAGATCCATACGACGAAGAACATGACGAAGAACACCAAAAATTCTCATCAATCCGGTACATTTGATCTCATTTTTATTAGTTTAACAATTACGGTTATGTCCGAATCTGAAATAACCATGGCTCCAGACTCCTTCACACCATGGCCACATATCACCGGAGTGGAGACGATTTCAAATTCGGAGCTTCTCTTCGCATATAAAATCATACATATGGTCTCTTTGTTTCGGGTTCCCTCTACAATAATTAGTACATATTTCAAAACTGAGCTACAAAAGAGCACATTGGATTTTGGTAAACATCAAGATTGCTTCCTACCTTCCAAGAAACATGATAGACTAATTCACATCCAAGACCAAACATTAGCCACATAAAGCCTGAATCAAATTAAACGATCTTAGGATGCTCTTCATAATCCGTAAGTTAAAGAGACTCGCATTAATATTGCAAATTAGACTCTAGAGGTCCACAATGGTTAATCAGAGTGTATCAAAGACGACGAATAAAGCATGAATTAGAATATCAGCAGAGGAAGCACACAAATATTCAATAAACGTAATCAATTACTGAGAATAGCATGGACCCAACTTTTGAAAGATTCATAAAAAAGGAAGATTTTTCCTATGCAACAATATTCAAACAATGAGAAGATCAATGATTGATGACTAACCATACAACCGAAGCAAAGCCATAAACAGAAACGAAAGTACTAAAGAGCCACAACAGCAGTGATACGACATTTGTTTCCTCGCACTGGAAACAATGACGTGCTTCCATAAATCCAATCTAGTTTTTATGGAAAACAAACCTGCATTCATAATAAACACTACTATTAATTATTATTTTTTATGCAAGAATTAAATGGCAGTATAAAAAATTCAATGGTTAGTGCCGAAAAAAAAAGCAAGGATTAGTTATGATATCAAATCAAAATTAAATATCAAGCAAGGTATTTACATAAAATTAAGGCAGTGGAGGATCTAAGAATTTTTTATATGACAATATCTACAACTAAACAAAGAAAATTTATATATTTTTAAAACAGAATCATTATTTGTTTTTTGGTAAGATTAAAACCGATTCATTATCATAGTAGTAAAATTATCATTTATTTATTATTATCCACGTTAATTTAAAAGTTTAAGAGAATATCTGCTTTTTTCTCA